TTTTTTTTTTTTTTTTTTTTTTTTTTTTTTTTTTTTTTTTTTTTTTTTTTTTATTTATTTATTGACATTGCAGTGAATTACACATTTGCGCGACTCCCGAGTTGAATGATTTATTCATTTGAATTGGAGTGCCGTTCAATCGCAAGTCCATTCCTCAATGTACGAACAATTAGCAAAAGGGTATTTTGTTAAAACTCTTTGCTTGGATTAATGTTGATTTGACTCTAGCAAGAACGGGATGGTCGATTTTTCAAAAATCTTTCTGTACGCTTGGGTCTATAATACATCGCTTTTTTTTGGTCACTTATTAGAATCATAGCTGTTTGTGTTTACTCTTGAGGAAAAATTGTGCTTGATATCCAGCTCCTAAATTCTCAATTAGGAGATTATGTGCGTACATATATACAAGTATATGCGTTTTATTTTTCAACATGAATCTGTTTGAAATTCTTGAATACCTTTTTTTTTTTGGTCTGTGTATATCCTCGACAGGTGCAATTTTCATTAGATTGTCGTTACTTTGTTTAGTTTATTTTTTAAAAATTTTAAAACGGATAAATATTGTTTTCTCCGAAAAGTAAAGTGTTTCGTTAGTATGTTATAGAGTGATCGTGTTCGGTTTTTTAATTAAAGTAAAAAAATAATTTTAAATTGAAAAAAGACTTGTTTGTGGAAAGGATGGTAGAGAGAAACAAACTTGTAAATTGCCAGCGCTAATTTCAAGTTTTTATTTTTTCTATTATAAATAATCGAAGTTTACTCGAAAAAAAAAAAAAAAAATTGTATTTGCACTGGTTAAAAGTTTATTAAAACTCACGTAATAAATAGCTGTTCACTTGTTGATGAATTGTTCGTGTAGTATCGCCAAAGATGAGTTTACACTTGAGCGTATAAAAAAAGTTTTATCATTCAATTGAATCAGCGCACTTCTACGTACGTATACCTAATGAATAGCTTGTTTTCAACATTATAAACGACTCCATTATCGTTTGCATTATAAATCTGGTTGCCGATCGGTAAAAATTCTATATATATTTTAACTTAACGATTGTTTGGATTTTCTTTGTCTCATTAATAAAAAATGAAGTTTGGAAATCTTAGTTTTTTTGCAAGAAAATGCAAAGTTGGAAAATTTGTTTTTTCTAACATAAAAAAAACAATTGTTTATCCCGATATCATTCAAATTCCTCAAATGAGTTTAGATGAAATCCGAAGAAATAACGTTTTAACCAAAGCATGAAACGTGTAGTTTGTCGGATAACAAACAATCCCCGATTACGCGGGAATTAAAAAATTTGAGGCATAAAAGCATACGGGAAAAACCAACGTAACCCTAAGATGGACCTTTTAAATGGTTGCGCGTGCATGCAGGGTCTTGGACAACCGGTTCATACACGGAAAACAACATCGTTGAGTTCTTAGAATTTTAAAATCTTGTTGCACGAGGAGAGGGGGAGGGGGGGCCAAAAAGAAATTTTTTAGGACCAACGCGATTGGTCGACCCGTTGCCGAGCCTCCAGTTGCCTTATTCCTTCCGATCGGTGATTTATTCACGCTACACAGGTATACAACGCGCGGGGACACAAGGCCAAACAAGGACCGGTTTTTCACGTCCGAGTCGTCAGACACCATGGAATGCTCGTGTGATTTTTGGGTTTAAAAAAAGGACTAGCAATAGATGTACCCATAGAACTTACGGGGATCCTTTTTTTTTTTTTTTTTTTTTTCCCAATGCCGATTGAAACGAAGATCGATACCACTGTTTTTCCAAACTGCCTGCGTATTTTCTAAGCGCGCAGGCATTGAATTAATTTCTGCTTCGATGATCGAGTGTTCATTTTGCATAAAAGTCTTATGAAAGGTATACATAAACGAGGACGCGAATATCCAATTCCAATGGTAGAAACAAAAGAACAATCACCATCACGAGTGTCTGCGATGGAAACTCAAATTAAGTAAACATTATGCCGAAAATTCAATAAAAAAAAAATAAAATAAAATAAAAGTTAAAAAAAACCAATGAGAGGAAAAGGAGCTATAAATAAAGCGAAGAAGATCGGTGGTGATTGGAACAAGTTTTCTCATCCATCAGCAGGTTCTCTCTCCGATCGCTCGCACGCGTCGAGAAAAAAGGAGGGAAGAGAAAGACGCCCCAACTAGTTTTTTTTTTTTTTTTCTTTTTCAAAATATCCAAGTGGCTATATGGAAGTAGCAGTGGCTAGCTCATAATCAAGCATAATAGCTGCTCCGCATTGGCTCTGTGCTCCACACACCTGCAGCACCGCGCTTGTTTGTCCGCAAGGAATCGATCAGTCTGTTACGCGTTGCGACTCCGATCGCACTGCCAGAGATTTTTCTCTACCGATCACCTGTCTGGCTTTCCACTCTTTGGTACGTTTTTTTTTCTTCTTCTTCTGATGGCTTGCTGTTAAACATTTTTATTCTATTTTTAACAAAAATCGGGAAAAATCGAATTTGGTTTTTTTTTTTTTTTTTTTTTTTTTTTTTTTTTTTTTGTAAATCTCAAGGACTCGGTAATTTGTCAAATATCAACTGAAATCGACAATCGGTACAGGCAAAATGAAAGTCCGATACCAATAAAATACATGATTAAAAACACCTCGCGCTAATCCGATTAGTATACACATACACACATTGAGTTTGAGCAAGGCAAACAAGTATAAAACTCAGTGTATATTATATATTTGTCATTAGCACTTTGTCACGGCTAATCGATAATCGCGATTTAATAACCGCGCGAGTGGGCATGATTTTCCATCACTTATTCCCATTACGGTTTCTAGGCTGAAAAAAAAAAAAAAAAAAAAGAGGATGCTCGGACAACAGCTTCTGAGGACGATGGGCGCGAGCCTGGCGAAGAGCTTCCGGCGGGAGGTGCACTCGGGCCGAGCGCTCCGGTTGACGAGCACCTCGGACAACGCGTTGGGCCGATTCATTGATAGGAGCGCCAAGCCGCCCCGGATCTTGATCACCGGCGGCCTCGGCCAACTGGGCACCGAGTGCGCCAAGCTGCTCCGCAAGAACTACGGCGACGAGAACGTCATCCTCTCGGACATCATCAAACCCGTCGACGAGAGCCTCATGAACGGGCCCTTCATATTTGCCGACATACTCGACTTCAAGGGCCTCCAGAAGATCGTCGTCAATTACCGGGTTGACTGGCTCATTCACTTCAGCGCCCTCCTAAGCGCCGTGGGCGAGCAGAACGTACCTCTCGCGGTCAGGATCAACATCGAAGGTCATTTTTTTCTTCCTCCAACTGCCAGTTTTATCCGGATCGAGTGGATTATCGAAGAATATATTTAACGCCTGTTTTTTTTTTTTTTTTTTTTCCCCAAGTAAACAAAAACAACTGACAGAGACAAGATGCATGAAAAGTCAGGAGTTTCGGGTCGGGCCGATGACGCCGTAATCATACGGTCTGCGTTTATTTATCGGGCTTCCTACGGTTTCAATCTTCAACTTATGGGCTTTTACCGGATATATTTCCAGGGTATACGTCTACGTAGTGTATAAACATTTTCTTCGCGAACCAAACAATTTTTATCAACATGTGTATGGCCGAGTACAATTTAATTTGGAATAATACTAAATAATAATAATATTAGTGGGGTGAGTTGGTAAATAAACAGAACACGAGTTTTTGAATTAAAAAAAAAAAAAAAAAAAAAAAAAAAAATGAATA